GAAAACACAGTTTAGATTCTGCACACAACTTGTTCCGGGGGGGGGGGCTGGTTTCTCCTGCAGCGCGGGGGGCACAGAGCCCTGATGCTGGCCGCGGAGCCAGGGCGAGAGGCAGCCGCAGAGCCCAGCCCCCGCATCCTCTGGCCCTACTGCATGCTCGACACCGGCCCCCGGCTGCCCCCGTAGAGCCACAGGCCAGCAAAGCAGCTCCCCCCACCCTGCTCCAGGCCCCTCCAGCAGCACCATGACCAAGCTGCTGCCTGCGCAGGAGGCCGCCAAGATCTACCACACCAACTACGTGCGCAACGCACGTGCCATGGGGGTGCTGTGGATGCTCTTCACCCTGTGCTTCTCCATCATCATGATGGTGACCTTCATCCAGCCCTACTGGATCGGCGACAGCATTGATACCCCTCAGGCTGGCTACTTCGGCCTCTTCTCCTACTGCATTGGCAACGCCCTCACCGGCGAGCTCATCTGCAAGGGTGGCCCCCTGGACTTTGGCACCATCCCCTCTGGTGCCTTCAAGACTGCCATGTTCTTCGTGGGCATCTCCACTTTCCTCATCATCGGCTGCATCCTCTGCTTCAGCCTCTTCTTCTTCTGCAATGCAGCCACGGTCTACAAAGTCTGTGCCTGGATGCAACTGGCAGCAGGTGAGTGGGGCATAGGGTTTCAGGGAGATACAGCCCTCCTCCCTCCTCATCCTAGGAGATAAATGCATGCATGGGTGGGAGACTCATTACTGCTTGTATTGCCATCCTGTGTGGAGGTCCCAACAGAGCTCAGAAAATTCTCAGACCTGGGACAAGCCGCATAAGTAGCTTAGAGCCACAGAGTAAAACAAGGGGAAAAAAGCCCCTTTTTCTACTGCATTAATTTAACATTAATGAACAGAGCCAAATGGGTGGAGACAGATCCTGCTGTCCTCTCCATCCAGCAGGCCCTTTATCCTTACCTCAAGGCTGACATGATGGCCCGGTCAAGAAGGGAGAAGACAGTGTCATGGTCTTGACCTATAGAGTCACTGAGCAATCTGCTCTGACACTAAGGGTGCCTCAGACCCCAGGCCCTAACAAAATCAGCTGACCCCTCACTCTTGTTGCACATAGGTAGGTTATAATCTGCTTTGTGCAGCAGGCACAGAAAAAAGAGTGCGGAAGGGATTGCAGAAAGCTGCCTCAGACAGCCAACTTCTAAGAGTTTATCTGAATCAAGTTTCACTTCAGAGAAACAAAGAATCAGTATTTTATAAATGATTCACAATGAGTAGTTACTTGCTACATGAAAGGCACTGTTTGTTTCAGCAGGGCCAGTTGGTGGTGGATCAGGATTTTGCTCCACGATATCTAGCCCAAAGTTTACTTCCTGAAGTTAAGCATCAACTCAGAAAAGCATCAGTTTGGAGGAATAAACAAAGTCAAATAAAGCAACCAGAAGTGCTGCTCACCCAAAGTACACAAAGCAGAAAACCAGAATCCTCGCATTATTAATAAGATGGGTGAGGAAGGCATAATACAGCCTGACATAAAAATGGGGCTTATTGAACCCCACCAGTTCCCACTGGTCCTCTCATATGAAGTTTTGCTAACGCAACACTTCTGAAAAAAAATAAAAAGTAAAAATCACACTCTAACTCGTTCCTATTCTGGCTCCCTACATTGTGGGGGATACCAAAATGGTTAAAAAACATCTCATTATGGCTCCTGAAGAATGAGGATGAGTCCTGCTTTTGATTCAATGAAGGCTGTTTCCAGTCAACCTATCTGTAAAAGGCTCTCAGCTCACTAGGGCTGTGTCAAGGGTGGCTGGAGATGATGCTGTGCACATTGTTCCCTAACATGATGAGGACTGTAGGAAATAGTGCACCTGAACCATGCTCACCCAATGGGCCATTCAGCTTGGGTAGACTTTTAAACTTGGCTTCCTGAGGGATGCACAGAATAAATGAGCTGCACAAATTTAAATGGAAGATGGCATTAAGATTGGCAACGTTAGCTCTTTCCACTACTTAGTATCATTTCATTAAGTCCACAACTGTCACTGCAGAAGACAACGGCTGAAACTTTGGGGGAAAGCTGAGCATGAAGCAAAACCCTAGGGTGCAATTCTGTACGTGGCAAAAAACCCTTACTACTTCCACTAGCATGCAGCCAAGGCTCAGAGACATATGACTTGATTAGCTTGCAGCAGTCCTACAATGATTCCCCTCCCACTTTAAAACAAGCATTGATGAGCTAAAGTTGGAGTGTCCACAGGTCAAGCAGATGGTAAAAGTTGCACATATATATTGGCAGAACAACAGAGCTAGGCATATTACAGGTATGGGTGCTGAGGTCTCTGTTTAGGCAGCTCACCAGCAACTAGGGCATGCATCTTTTCAAGACATCAAGAAAAGAATAATGACTCTTTAGGTTCTAACTTACTCAACTTAACTTCAGGTTACTGGACGGAAGTATTGGCTAATTAAATCCTACCAGCAATGCTAATGCTCAGGAGAATGTTACACAACTCAGCTGCATCACTTAAAAGCTATTATAATCCAGTATAATCATCCCAGCCTCCTGAATCATTCATGGTGAAAAGAAAGGCTGCATCCTGTTACACCTTCTGAGCAGCTCAGCAGAAGACCCTTGCTGGTTAAAATATCATGGAGACAAAGAAAGTTAGGCCAACTGAAGTGTGGTTTAAGTCCTCTGGAATGGAAGTAGGGTTAAATTTGACCCTTAAGTTTTCTGCTAGGAGGAGAGCAGCATTGTGGGATTGCAGCTGGTCTAAAAGGAAGTCCCCCAAGCCAAGATTAAGATAAGAGGCTTGGAAACAACCCAATAGCCCCAGAAGTCTGGATAGCAAAAGGTTTTCTATCTCTGAGCTCTGCTGTAGTCATTGCTTATACATGTTTGACTACAAAAATAATATAAAAGGATTAATAAAGAATGGAGAAGTGTAAGATGCATCAGCCTTCTGCATTGGCTTTATACCCTGGATTAGGAGTCCAGTGAAGACCACATTAACCCCATGGTCATTTGGGCATGTTGTAAAATGTTCACTTCTATGGCTAAAATTCAGCAAAAGCACAAGTTATCCGTTCTTTTGAGAGACCTAACAGTACCATAAGGTCTGGGATGAAAGGAAGATGATGAAGCACTAAGAAATACATGGGGAGTTCCATATTGGGTGGTGCTATTAAGACTTCATTTTCCACAAGAACTAAATTAATGCAAATCTGTATTTTGGGGTGGGGAGAGAAATGTTAATCACATTTTAGCCTCTTTAAAAAATAATTCATCTGCTAAACAGAGATACTATTGAGTGCAAGGGGGAAATAAGGCAAGGTAGACACCCTACTCCTGTTATGATGATGCTGTATTTGTTATAATGGCTGCATGTGTTCTCTTCCTAGGAAGGAATTAGAATTGATGGCCCTCCCCTAAAGCCCTTAACAGGCTCAGTGCAAAGTGGTGGTGAGACAGGAGCCCAGCAGCCAGTAAAAATCTGGAAACCTCTTTTGGAGCAGGGCAATTGCAGAAAGGATTGATGAAGCTGCTCAGTTGCTGTAAAGAATGCATCTCACCCCATGCTGGGGATATTAATGCACCCTTCCTTACAACAGCCTGGTTTTGCCTTAAATGTGATAAACCCTTCTCACTAGCTTTCTCTTTTAAGATCTGTGAGCAGACAGACTGGAATGGTAGGGATTAAGGTCTGTACTCTGTACAGGCGATGCAGAATATTTAAACAGGGTACACTCTTCACATTTCTTTCCAGCATTTATGATCATAAAGGCTTTATTTTAGTGCCTCCTTAGGTTAAAACAGAGCCAAAACCTGTCCCCCTGCATAGATAAAACAAAGCCAAAATCCATTAACCCCACCTCCCAGCCATCCTACCACAAGCAGAAAACAGGACCAGGCAGGTTACACGCTAGAGCTGGTGGCATTGATAAATGATCTGGACACTGTAGATCTATTAAAGAAAAACAAGGTGGGGGGAAGGAACAGCAGGCTGTGTCAAAGAAAGCAGGAGTGATTGCTGCTGTGCTTTGAAACATGCCTCCTTTGAAAACAAACACTGCAGATTTCTTTGCAAAGTGGTTTTACTAGAGCAGATGCACGCTCCAGACTTATGCAAGTTAGAAAGGGTTGAGGCTACAAGGAAGCAATGATGTTATCTAATCCTCTCCCACCAGCCCCTCCTTTGGCTGTACAAAGATGTTCTCAATAGCCCAGAGTGGCTCAGTCAGTATGAAACATTTCATATCAGGGCTTCTCTCAAGTCTGATGGGAGACAGCTCCCCAGTCTAATAGACTCATTACTTGTATTAATACAGGCCTGGGAGGCCCCACCCGTTGTGCTAGCACTGTCTAGTCATGCAGTGCATGCACAGGACAGAGTATAACAGAAGCAAACAACATAAAGCATCAGTGAGAGGCAGGATCACTGTCCTTATTTTGCTGGGAGAGAGCAGAGGTAGAGACACTCACACTGAGATTTTCAGAAAGGACCAATGCTTTTGGGTGCTCAGCATGGGACACTTTTAAAGCCTCCAATTTTCAGAAGGCACTTTCTGAAAATAAGTATCCTTAAATGTCTTTCAAGTTGAGCAATCAGAATCTGGTCTGGGACTCAAAATACCTGGGCTCCGTTTGTGGCTCTGCCACTGACCTGCTGGCTGACCTTTGGCAAGTTACTCTCTCTTCATGCTTCTGTTGCCCCATCTTTAATATAGAGATAGTAATACTGACCTCTGGTAAGGTGGTCTGAGATCAACAAAAGAGAACTGCTATAAAAGCTGAGCATGATTATTAATCACCTTGAAATTCTCAGCTTAAATGACTTGTCTGTCTAAGGTTACAGAGGCAGCCTGTGTCAGGATGGGACATGAACCCTGGCCTCCAGAGTATCTCAACTACAATAGCATTCTTTTTCCTCTCCTAACACGTTACACTAATTTAGTTTCTCTCAAAGATACTGCTATCCAAGCACTCTGGATATCTTCTTTTCCTGATCGAATCACCAGCCTCTCTCCCGACTGAGTCACAATCCAGTGGTAGCAGTTAGGCAGTTCTAACTAACCAGCTGCTCAGTGCTCAAAGGCAGGTGCTATCAATGCCTGCCACAAAGACTAGCACCATGGAGACAGCCATTACCAACCATCAGATTCGTTTATCAAGTCTCCATGCTGATGGCAGTGTTGGTCAAGAAAAAAGCAACCTAGGAACTCCTGCAACGCTAGATGGGAAGGCGAGAAGAATAGAAGTAACAGGATCATGGGTAAAGCACTGGACAGGGATTCAGTTGATCTGGGTTCAGTTCTGTAGTTCTGCCACATGCTCCCTTCCCTGACCCCATGCAAGTAATTGAAGCCGTCAGTGCCGGTTGTTTGCCATGCCTGTCAATTGAGATATTTGGATATTCTCTCTTTGTTCTTTCCCTCTTAACTTTAACAGTCCCTTGTCTTAAGCTGAATGGGAAAAGTAGCCCATTTCTGTGCCTTGTGCGCAGAAGGCCGAGGAGCAAGTCACAGAGGGCCGTGGGAGGCATATAACAGCATAGACACCCATTGCTGAATACAGCCCCTCCTGCCTGGGTCCATTAGTGTCCGTGGTTTCCTATTTTACTCAATCCCCTTCTTTTCTTTAGCCCTTGTATTGAAAAGCTTTCTGCCAATGTTTGCTCAAATGCTTTCATGATACAACTGAAAAGCTTTGGGTTGACACAAAATTAAAGGCAACCCCTGGGAAATTAAGCAGATTGTAAGTATATTCAATAAGCAAAAGTCAGAGCAATGGGTCTATGAACTTGCCTTTAGCCTCATAGGGTGAAGTAACTGTTGAGCAATTATTCGTGCAAAGAGTGCCACTGCATTCATTGCCACCGTTTGCACAAATAACCACTTGGAGTGGGGAAAGCCTCCAGAATGTGGACCTTAACAAGATGGACATGAAATCTTGTGCCCACATTTCCCAAAGAGGGAAAAGATAGGTCCATGGTCACGACTAGAAATAGATTTGGTTTCCCTTCTAATATCTGGGATGCAGTCTTTTATTTGACAAGACTTCAGAGACACTCAAGGTGATAAATGCAGCTACTTTCTTAGCCCACACGGCTTTTCAGATGCTCATAGCAGACTATTTCCCATGCAGAGAAATCACTGGTAGTATATTCCGTGGGGACCAATTAGTGTAGGAAAGGACTTGATTGGATGAGACTGCTTTTGCTTGCATGCTGTAATTATACCAGGATGCATCTCAGATTAAGGAAGTGTTTTCACTCAGAGTGACTCTTCCCTATCCATACCCCATATTCATGGAAACTGCAGGGGGAAGTAATTAAATGTACTAGAAACCAGCTGGTTCTAAACAAAGAGAAATTGTGCAGAGCCACTAAGGTGCATAGATCCTTACTGTTCTCCTCTCCCTAAAGCCATTGAAAAGCCCCTTGCAAATCATTACACAAGAGCACCTGTCAACAGTCCTGGAAACACTGAGGTCTATCAAGTTCCAGGCAACAAAGATAAACATGGGCTGTAGGGATGGTAGGAAAATGCACGTTACTAGAAATGAAGCAGTGGCAGCAGTCTCTTTACACTAGGAAAGATGGTGCTGCTAACACCCGTCACCTGATACAACAGGAATCCACAGTATATCAAAGCCCAATAACTGCCTATATACCTGCTGCAGGGAATCATTTGTTGCGTGTCAAAGCAGAGGAAACATGCCAGATGGAGATAAATTGCTTCTTATTCCAGAGTTCTTGATGTGTTATTGCTGTCAAGCATGCAGGAAGTGCCTACGGAGATTTTTAGTTGACTACAGATACAGATTTATTATTGGTAGTAGTAAAGTGGAACCTATCTTGGGACTAGGACCCTATACAAACTACCCCCAGTCCCAAGCAAGGAAGGAAGGGAAGAGAAATGCAGAGGATTTCTGTAATTCACTCAGCAGGTTGCCACTTAAGGTTTTGATTGCAGAGGCACAGAAGACTAAAAATGAAACCAACACAGCAGGAACACACAGAAACATCGGCTGACATTTTAGTGCTTTGAGCTAAACACAGCCTTGAGTTGCTTACAATCTTAGGCCCCTGGCAGACATTAAAATAATGGCATGATTGGGATCTGAGGAATGTTACGTCCCGCTCCAAAAAACATGGATCCCACAATACCACATGTACATGGCAGGATGAGTAATGTTTGGGATGGGCCATAAAATTCCTCATCTCCAAATCACACCACTGTAGGGCTGCTCCTAACTTGATCTTGTGGATTAGGCAGGGTCTTTGTCCTGGACCCTGGAGCTGCCCCATGCCCAATCCGACAACATCAGGCTCAGGTATGGGCAACCCTGGATCCCTAGTTCCAGACTTAAAGCTGCTCCAAGTCCCAAACTCAGGCATTGTGTTGGAGGTAGCCCCGAGACCAGAGGCTGTCTGGGATCAGTGGTGACTATCAGGTAAGTGTACTGGCTCCAGAGAGCCTCAGGTCCTGTTCCAGATCTGAGGCTGTGATTGTCAGCATTGGTGGGACAGCCCTGCTCTGGAACACAAAACATGCCACACATTCAATTTAAGGTGTCACACAAACCAGCCACAAAGATATTCTACATTGCACCTGGAACATCTTTGCTCCTGGTTTGCCATTTTATGTTGCAAGGTGGGCGAACATTTAGCATATAATTTATGGCACTATATGTTAATTATGCCATAAATGTAACATCTGCCCGAGGTCTTAGTTGCCCAGATTTAAACTAGCAGGTGATCATTATACACACATTTGGGCAGCTTGCTGATACCTTTAGCCAAATGGAATGAGGATTAAGAGATGCCCGGCTTTGGGGCAAGAATCCTTCATACTTGTAGAGAACTCCTTCATCCCAAAGCATCAGTCATTTATAAGCTAGCAGCATCTACAGGGTGCCAGGCACCACATAAGCCAGGAATACTGAATCCTATACAACATGCTGTTGGTTACTACTCTACAGACAGACACCAAGGTAGACTCTTACAGCCAGAGATGGGAAAAGCATCTAGTAACTCCCTTTTCAAGGCCAACACGCAACAGACACTGCTGAAAAAGGGCATAAAGTGCTTAGGTGGAACATCACTTTGTGATATAGAAAATTAAAAGCTGCCTGGATGGCAAAGAACATTTTGTGAACTAGCACTTCACCTGTTTCAAAAAGAAAAGTGAATGAAGACCTCCCACAACTCAAACACTGCACAACACAAAGTAGCTCAGCAGCAGGAACGGATCCGATAATAAGGTCACGTATACTCCTCGGGGGAATGCATCTATAAGTGCTTATAGTAATTGATAATTTGGGAATCGTAATTGGAAACCCTTCAGCTGAATAAGCTTAAACTAATCTAGGTACAAGTCTGTTGACTTCACATACATACATATACACACACACACACCCCTCGGGCAGATCTTAGCAAACAAACAGTAATACAAACCTCTACTGATCGAACAATCCCAATTCAAACTGGCTTTCAGCTGTTCGGAGGACTCCTCCAGTGACTGTTTAAAAGGATGGTTCCCAGAACTGTTCTTAGTCATGTTTTTAACAGGTCAGCATTGCATATTCATGTAGGAGTGAGAGGGTGTTGCCAAGGCAACAAGGTTAATGGAAGATTACACAGCATTTCCTCTTTGGGAAAGAACCATGCTCTTGGCTACAGAGCTCACTCTGCCAGAAATGGTTACGTGCAACAGCCATTATGGCTTTCCCCTTCTTTACCTTTTATTTGTAGTAGCGCTGTGTTGGTTTAAGGTATATGCATTCAGAGAAGATCACAGGTTACAATGAAAATATTAAGCCGAGTATAACAACATTGTACCAATGTAACTATTTTGGATAGGGATGCAATTATTTAAAAGAAGCAGAATCCTTAAACTATAAAATCCCGAAGCAGGCATGCAGTTATACTGATGTAAGAAGGGCCTTAACACAGGCCTGGTATATTCTCCTTCTTGTGGAAGAACTATACTAGTAAGCTTTATATTTATGACTGTCAACACTGTGGGAAGAGGATATACTACTTTATCTGTAATGCATGACAGGTTTAGACAAGCTCCGGGTTATGTATCATAAGGTTTTAGCAAGGTGCACTCACGTGAACAATACTAGTCCTGAAAGGGTGCAATTATCTTGTACTAACTTTTTTTTTCTTGACAGACCAATGACAACTTTTGTCTTAGGGTTGTGGATTTTTCCTCATATTTTTAACCTTTAAGACAGGAGAAAAATAATACCCAATTCAGTGGAATACTAGCATTTTCACTTGAGAAATGCAAAGCATTTCTTATTGTAAAATGCTATGGAGGGAAGGATTACTTGGATAGGCAGTTCAGGTGTCCCAAATTACCTAATTGTAGCAGCAGGAGTTTGAGATCACAACTACAATATTCTAGTAATCACATTTAGCACAAACTCTAGACCGGGAAGCATGTTAAGGGTAGGATTTAGGAAGCTTTGATCAGTACCTTCCAGTCAAGGAACTTTAGCGAGAACTTCACTTTAGACAAGAGACCATCTTCTCCATCTCACCACCCATGTAAAACTGAAGCACAGCTGTTTAATTGGCTTTTCTCAAGTTTATTCTGGTAATGACTTGGGCTTTCATATAGCCTACAGCACGTTAGTTGAACTGGTGCTTGTATGCCTATGAGCAATTACTCCCACAAGTAGCCTTGGTTCTGTTCCAAACAAGGGCCAGATCCAACACTGAAGCTGAGCAGTAAAGCTGTTGCCATCAGTACGTACTGCCCCTGGCAGTGAACACCAAACTGATTAACCATCCCTGTAAAGCTAAATTTTCACATAAAATCTAAAATATGCTGCGAATACTCTGAGAACATTCTTGTGCATCAAAAGTTGTGGAAAGGGACGTGAACTAATTGAATATGAGCCAAGTCACAGCAGCTGTTTGAAGTACTCGCTCCATTCAAGTTATGGTGGACTGCCATCCTGTGCCATCGTATGCCCTGCAACAAAGTAGTGTTTCTCTCCTTGCAGCTACGGGCCTGATGATAGGTTGCCTAATCTACCCAGATGGTTGGGATTCCAGTGAAGTGAAGCGCATGTGCGGTGAAAAAACAGACAAATACACAATAGGGGCATGCACCATACGCTGGGCCTACATCCTCTGCATCATTGGGATCCTTGACGCCCTCATCCTCTCCTTCCTGGCCTTTGTTTTAGGGAACCGACAGGACCATCTCCTCCCATCTGACTTTAAAGTCGATGGTAAAGGTAACTGAGCCTCTTTGCTCTCTCTCTCTCTGGTCACATCTGCCACCCATTATACAGGCATTCCCAATCCCCTACAAGGCCAAGCCCTGCTATGATCACTCGGTCCACTGGCCCCAGATGCAACATTTTGTGCACATTACAGCAAACTACCATAACACTAAAAGGAAGGCAAAGGATACAAACAAGGAGAGCAGTCATCCCAATTACAGGTTTCCCCTCACTAACCAGTTTTGCCAACCACGGTTTTGAGTATCCATGCTTAATTTTCTATATACCATTTTGGCTACCATGGTATACAGTTTTGAGTAACCCTGGGTTTCCATGGCTGCCCATCAGCCTACCACCTGCCATTTGCCCATAAGCCTTTTGTCTTGCCAACCACAGAAACTTTCAAGAACCTAACCCCAGTGGTTGGAGAGGGAAACCTGTATACCTTTATGCTATTAACATAACTACAATTCTTTGTTTTACAGAAGAGGTCAATGAATGAAGAAGCTGAACGCCACAGTAAGCAATCTCGATGGAACTTACTTCTACACTTACTACACATGCATTTTACATGTCATTTACATGTGGGGATTCCTGAAGTGTCAGTGGTGTTGCATTGATTTATGTCATGCCCATTGTTTTAACATGGTGGTGCCTAACTGATCCAGCTCCACCGGCCCAATCCACCACATGGGGCTGACCCGCATGGCTCCCTTTAAGTCCAGTAATTCGGCAGCAGGATGAGTGGCAGCAGCATTAGTTGCTGTGGTTCCAAGAGCCATGGCGATTAACATTGCCACCCACTGCCAAAGCTCCTGTGGGCCAGATGACACAGCTGTGTGCTGTATCTTGTTCACTCCAGCTTTAATTTATGCAATTAGGTGCAAGACAAACCAGCTTTAACTTAACTGACACCAGGAAGCAAAGGCATTTTCAATTCCTTACACAAAAAGGAGTTAAGATTATTCTGACGACTACAGTTTTGCAAAACTGATGGGGTTTTTTCTCTTTTCCCAAGGGAAAAAACCCAAGAATCTCTTCAGGCAACTATCCAAAACTTGCTCTTCTTCCTTAAGTTTTTTTTACAAAAAAATTTTATGACAAACTTTCTTGAAAACAGAGGACCCACAGAAATTCTATGCAAGGGACTGCTGTAGGATCACCACTCTCAGAATTTAGTTGGATGGAGACACCCTATGAAGCGGAAAACCACAGCATTTTACAAATACACTATCCAGTATGTGGCAGGAAAATGTTAGTGATTTTAATTTTCTGTCACTCTCTTTGTACTGCCTTCTTTCAAGAAAAATTCTGCTGAATAAAGGCATATTTTAAATGCTTTGATATTGTATTAGATTCCTTGAGAAACCTATTTCTTCTGTTCCCTCTTCTGTTGTCTTGTCTATTTTAGATGACCAGTTTTAAAGCAACCTTGAACAGATTCTCAATTGTTATCTTTTGAAAGTCCCCATAAAGGACAGAATTATTTTACTGGTAGATGGACTGGTTTAACAACTGGATTATAGCACTCAGTGAAGACTGACCTTTAAACCCAACCGGTTCCAAAACTCCTCTGCTCAATCCTGAGCCACAGTAAATGCAGACTCTCTCCTAGGGAAGACTTTCTGGCACAAATCTGCCTGCCTCCAGCATGACACAGCAGACAATTCGCTTAATTTTCACTAGAACAGATGGCGTCAATCAAAGTCAGCTCATTCACACTCAGTGGATCACCGGACTCAATTAATTTGATAGAACCATCAATTCACATCATACTGACCACCTGCCTGCCAGAGTCTTCAGTAGAATTCTCCTATATAACCTGAAGAGGCTGCACATTTCTTTTGGTTTTGAAATGTCAAACAGTCCTACCAGATTGACATCCAAAATTGATATGCATTAATATCTACTTTCCTTTGGACTGGATTGTTCTTGTGACTAGAAATCAGGGCAATTCTCAGCAAAGGTGCACACTAAACTTCCACATGTTGCTGCTGTTACAATAAAGCCTTTCTGAAAAGCTCATTTAGGATTCCCCACTTCAGGAAGGCAGATAGAATACAGCAACAAAATGGCAAATTGGAGGGAAAACTCGCTATAGAAAAGTTTTCTTATTTATCTGCTGAAAAAGTTAAGATTTTTGCAAACAGTTTTATGATATCTATATATACACTCAATCACATGCTTTGGCAGATTTCCAGGGTCTTAACACTACTAAATATTGACTGAACCCCATTTCCTACTGCTGCAATCTACAACCACCACCAGACGGATACACCCTCCAATTTTGTTCATTCAGAGCCAACATATGAGGAATATGTATGGGTTATTAAATATTCTGTTTATTGTACTGCATTTACAAAGAAAAAAAGACAATGCGTCCAAGTAGAAAGAATAAAAATGTATTTTCCTTCAGGTTTTAGACTGACACAGCAAATACAAATCCTTTAGTGAGCACTTTATGGCAATTTGAAAAGTAATGAACCTCAAGTGAGCAAGCACACAAGGTACAAGACCGAATCCTGACAGCTGCTTCTGCATGTCTTCAACCCACACGCTGGCTCTTTTACTACTAGCAGAGGATAAAGATCTCTTCTGATTGGGGAGACGGGGGGAAGGGGGGAACAGATCTCAAAAACAAGTTTGCAGCCCCCCTCCCTGCCCCTGCTATGAGCATGTCATTCCTTTAGGTCAGCCAGGTTGCTGAAGTGCACAGGGCTTGATGAGCTCTAGGAATACCAGCAGAAGTTCCATTAACCCTGCCAATAAGACTTCACAGTATTTAAAGAGAAGGTAATTGTTCTAGTAATCCAATCCTGTCTGTAATCCCCTTGCAACAGATGCAAGAATGATGCTTGGAATCAGAGTAAGAATTCCAGGTGGCTGGAAATATCATTCAGCAGGTTTACTATTTTGGTATGTTTCTCTCCTTTAACATTGGACAAGATGCATAGAGAATCTGACCTAAGAATCCCTAAATGGACATGCAGCATGGATTTCATTAGGGGCCCAGCCAGGCGTTATTAGACAGGACAAACAACTTTTGACGTGGATTAAGTAATGGCACCAGTTTTGTGGATGAAAGATTGTTATGGACTGAGATGTCAAACACACATAGAAAGTTACATGTAACAGTCTCACTGGCAGCTTTGGTATCATATCTCAAATAGTGCCTGCTTGGCCTTCTGTGAGGTCCAGAGTCCTGCAGCAGCTTCTATCCTCTGAGAGCTTCATGATCCCAAAGGCCTGTTTGGTCCATGGTGAGGAGTTCCAACACTGCCAAACCTTGCTTTAGAGTAGGATGCAATGAATCTGTAATAGCTTGGGCAAGTCTAGGAGAGACCATCATAAAACTAGCAAATGCTACAATTCTTTAACTTTTAATTAAAATAAACCCACAAACTTCAGTTACGTCCAATCCCCTCAGGGAAGTTTAAAAGCTTATATTGTATTCTACTGAGCAACCTTATTTGGTGTGATTCTAGGAAACATCAGCTGACCCTGTGTTTACAGGGAAAAGGCCAACACACTCTTCTCCCATCTAGTTCAGCTGTCCTTGTGTTAATGCCCACGTACCCAAATGCCTCAGAAAATAAAAGGCAATCCCATTCAGGGCTGTTACTTATAAAGGCTAACACCTGAGGCAGGTTAACAGAGTAGAAATCTTTACAAGTGCGGTGTTTCAAAGTCAAAGGATAATGTGGCTGTAACACACAGATGCCACCACCCTCTCTTCAGAAGTGAGTAGTCAAAATAAGAGCAAGAGTATGTTCCATCTTTCTAGAGTGAAAGCCAACTGCTTACTGATGCAATGGCAACCTTAAGCAAGGCAAAGGAAGTGCCAGTGGGGGGTGGAGTGGGGGGGGGCCTCACAGCTCACTCAAACGTCTAGGACGAAATGCCTGAAGCACGGCTACCTCTCTGCAGCCAAAGGGTGTACACATCTGTACTCTGAAGATTGTGCGTTTATCTCTTCCAGCTTTTGCTTTTATTTCCCTTGTCAAGTTTTAGTCCAAAAGGCTCAGGCATTCAAGAGAGCAGAGCAGGTTTCACTGAATTCAGAAACTAATCTGAACACTGGGGGAAAAAAATAGTACAAAAAAACTAGTTTTTAAATACAGCTTGTTTCAAAAACAAAAAAAAAGTGGCTAAAACTAAAGAAAATTATTTGACTGGAAAGAATGTACGAAATTACCCGAGGAATGGAACAGGCACCTAGGAAAGAATGGAGGATTCCTAGTTCTTTGCTCCACATGAAGTTAAACACCTTAGTATCATCTGCTATTTATGCTGCCACTAGCTACTAGATGTGCAGTGGAAAAATTAACTCCCGAGTCAGTAAGCTAAGGAGGGAGTTGCAGGTTTTCACATCCCTCTCACAAAACAAAGGATTGCTGTAACTTAGTGAAAGGAGTATATTCCAGTGCAGATCAGCTCACACTTACAGGATATAGCATGTTAACAGTGAATAGACTCAGGGGCAACTTCATGTTCCAGTCAGTCAATTAGTCTTTGGCAAAGCCCAATCAAGGCAAAAATCAGATGATGGTGCCCATTGGCTGAAGAGAGTCCCCACTGAGTCAAATAAGCAAATTCAATTGAACAGGTTAGATTTATCTAAAATCTTGGAAGCCTTGAAGGAAGAGCTTCACACTGAAAATGAACATGAAAAAAAATGGATCTAGGAAGGGGCAGCTGGATGTATGTATGCTACGCTGTAAACCAGAGAGTAGGGCTGTGGTACTGTGTTGAAGCCTCTAGGAGTTAAGCCAAGGGTGCCTGAGACACTCTCCTGCTGTGGCCCGTTTCTCTGGAACCAGCTCCAACATAGGTAATAAGAAGTCTGTGAATGCAGCCGCCTCATCTTGAGGCCACTCATATTTCTCCACAAGGACTTCAAAAAGGCCCCAGGGCTTCAGTTTGGTGATGTGCTTCAGATCACCTGAAAACCAAGACAGATAGATTAAGTCACCAATGGCAGTTGTTCATCTAATCAAACAGGGGAGAGAGCCGGACAATGTTGTCTTGGACAGGAGAATCTCAACCTTTTTGTCTCAAAATTTCACTCTTTAAATCTGCTCTTGTAAACTGGCTTTAAAAGTGTTTCCAAGAAAGTCTCATGTCTTCTCTTCCTACTTCTGCCCAAAGGCTTGGATACAACTTGATTACTTACTATAACTTTACGATATAATGCAACAAAGTCAGGTACTCAGACTCCGGCTGAGAAAAGAGGCTCTACAGGTAGCAGCCAGATATCTCCTGTTCAGGCCGGTAAATTCAATGGCACAGGAAACCTTCACTCTTCTTGCTCAGATAAACCCAATGTATTTTATTCTTAGAATGTTTAAAAGACCCTTATTATACCATAAGCTCTCATAAAGAGATTTTGGGCCTGGCTGTAATACAACTCTGCCAGTTCCCTGCCAGCTTTCTCTGCAGAGTTATCACTTTCCCAAACAAGGCTGTACATCTTTTTAAATCTACAGAAGAATAACCTTTAAAGGTTTAAAACAGCATCTTTCAATTTTTATTATTGCAGGGAACTACTTCTCCAGATAGATTTAGATTGGTACACCAGAGCTGTATACATGAAGAAATGCAGAAACAAATTACAGCCATCATATAATAAACACCAGCTGTTTAATGCCAAAAGATCATTCAAGGAGCTCTTTACAACAATCCCCTGCAATCTGTTTAGTCAGTCTATATTGGATGTGGAGCACTAGAACGTTCTCAGTTGCTAGATAAGAACACATGTATATCAATGCATCTTTACTTTGAGACAGTCCCTAATGTTCCAGGAAGATGACTTTTCTGGGGCCTACAATTACTATGAAGTTCCAGT